AAAAATCTAGATTAAAAAAAAATGTATTTGCTGCATCTATTTGCACCATCTGATGCTGTCCTCTCCTTTTCTGTCTTACTGGGAATCCTTAATTTTGCTGCTGCTTTGCTAGAAATCCTTCCAACAGATACTTATTTCAAGTTTTTATAGGGAAGCTAATGTGGTATAAGAGGTGTTTTTCTTTGGTATTTGTAGGATGGTTTGAGGGATTCTTCAAAATAGTTTTTGTGTTTAATGCAGTACTTGATACCTGCACTAAAAATTAAGGTTATTTATGGTAGAGAATAACCAGAACTTGATGCTGATTTATTTCTAAGACTTACCATAAATTTACTTGTAATATTCACAAAGGCACCAATACTGAACTGCAATTTTATTCTTTAACTTATGTGCTATTGTCTCAAAATTGTGGATGATTTTTAAACCAGTGGTAATCTGCACACTCACCAGAAGGTTCTGTGCTAAATTTAGTTTCATGATCAGCAAGTAAAATTCACATGTTCTTTATTTAGTCCATATAATACACCATTTTTAGAATTTTAAAATTAGATAAAAGAGCATAATAAATGGCAGGTGTATGAAGGTTGTTCTTCATAAACAAGGTCAGAACAAAATCTGAATTACAAAATGTTAAAAAATATGTAGGTACATTTGAACTTAACATTTTACTAAAACAAAGTTACAGATATTGTCTAATGAAAAATAATTGTGCCACTTACCTATTTTTGCTGTTTCTAGGAACTTTTTATTCTGTACATAGGACCATTCTGTACAAAATATGAAGTCTACATTTTTATTACTTATTACCATAAAACAAAGTACAATGTATGTACAATATTAAAATAAAGCCATACTAAAGCCACACTAAAAAGACACTTGTAATATTACTTTTGACATTTCTGATGTACAGATGTAATTTTTGAGAACATGGAAAGGTGTCAAACACAGAACTTTATGAAGAAGAACAGCCACCAAAATTCTACTTTATTTTTACTTTTTATTTTGGATGTAGTAGTTTTAGAGTAGTTTAGTACATGACTATACAAAATATATAAATGATGGTAACAAACAAGCCAAACAATCAGTGCTGATAATTTTTGGAATACTGTCTAGGCAAATGTTCTATGGCCCAAAACCTCAAGTGTGAATTTCTGACAAACTTTAATTAAAAAAAAAAAAATATTGTATTCCCTCCCTTTTTTTTTGGTGAATGTTTATCTTCAGTAAAGAACAGAAATAAAATCTAGACAGTAAAAGATGTTCTTATATGTTGAGCGTTACACAATCAAACATTGATATACAAGTTTTTTCCCTAGGGTAAAATAAGAGTACTTCTTTCCAGAAACCTCTTGCACAAACATATTGAACACCCAAAATCAAATTATTTGATAATTTACCAGCTAAAGATGGAAGTTCAAACAATGGTATATCAAAATACATAGACATTGCTTTATACAATTAAAAAAGCACCCTTTTTCCCTCAAAAGGAGAAGGCATCTTTAAACGGTTTTAATATAGTTTATCATAATGGTAAAGCATATTCTCTTTCAAGTTTAACAGGAAGTGTTTTCACACACAGTGGACTTTTCCACTTGAAGCTTTAGGTGGTCTTTCAATTTAGGTTTTTTTTTTTTTTTAGCAATAATTCCCACCCACTAAAATGACTTTTTCCAATAGACAATGTAATACATATTGGACATTGTATTTTCAATGCAACCAACAGACAGCAGGCACTACATCTGCACAATGAATGTCTGCTTTGCACAATATTTTTATGGATGCAGGAGACTTTTTTTTTTAAAAATAAAACAAACTATTTTTAAAGAAGCCACATTTTTATCTGTTTATGCATCAAGACATTAAACATTAAAGTTATATTATGTTACTGCCAGAGACAAAAGAAACTAGTCACCCATTTAGAATAGCAGAACACATCTCAAACAGCTCTTAAGCAGGATAAGTAAGTCAAAATACTGGCCACCCTGAGAGAAATCAAATATTGAAGACAAAGCACTATATGTTTAAAGAGATTTTCCTCCCGTGCTTTTCCATCTACAACAAAAAGCTCATTACATGCAAGTAATCTTGTGGAATATATAGCAGCATTTGAAGATCATCAGCAACTCAGATGCATTTTCATTTTACCTGTGAGGTGTATTTGTAATATATGTGCTCTTTACAACACACAAAAATATATTCACGTAAAACTACGGTCACTGTTGATTTATCAGCTCTTAAACTCACATCTTTTACCTGTTTTTACTTTATAATACAAGCTATTGGTGTTGTGTTTCACTGAAAGGCAACAATGTTTGTCTGTCTGAGAAGACTAATGCAACTTAAATGACATCATGGTATCTGCCACAGAATATTGAACTCTTAGAGCCCAAGAAAAAATGCTGAGTATTAAAAGCTCAGATAAGGGAGAAACAGTGTTTTACTAAACTGAAAACAAGGAATGAAAATCAAAATATAAATATTTTTATATTCAATTTATTCCCAGTCAAGGTAGATAAATTTTCATTTTAGGAAACAAATTCTTCTACCAATTGACTTTTGGAATACTGGTGCTGTATTACATACTAAAGACTGGAAAATATGGCTTTAAATACATGTAAAGTACTAGGACATGGTATATATATGTCTTTATCCTAAGTAAAGAAACAATTTACAGAACTCTTAGAAAGCAACCATGATTGAGGATTGTCATGAAGTTACCATTTTGTAAGCTGTGTTTTATAATAGGAAAGTAAAGAACTGTATATTTTCAAAACTGCTGGTATATTACAAGACAATAGTAATGTGGAAACAATTTCAAAGTTGAGAAGTCTTAGAAAAACATGTAATACTTAAATCTGAAAGAATTTTGCTTTTGAAAACAGTGTTATCATAGTACCAACTATCAGTCATTCAAATGACTTCAATTTTGGTGGAAATAACTTACAGAATGTTATTCTCAAGTACTACTATAAAACTATGCATGTTACCAACTGGTACTTTGACAACACCACCAGAAAAACGTGGCCACCTAATACTAGTCAACCCATGGTTCTGCATATGGAATCAAGTAATTTACCATTGTTTGAACTACTAATCTTGAGCTGCATACTGTATTAAGTTATTGCCTACAGAACTGGGTTGAAGAAAGCTTTGACTTTTGTGTAACTGATTGGTATGGCACAAAAAAGTAAGTTCTCTACTGTAGAACCGAGTCCAGAAAAAAGTTTTCCTCCAAAATAATATTTCACTGTAATAGTCTAATGCCCATCGTGTGATATTAGCTCATCAGCTCTGCAATGGGATTCCAAGGCTTTCATGGTGTAGATATCCTGAGGCAGTTCTGACTTGCGTCGCATAAGAGGACGATCCTTTTTCTGATCTCTCTGTGCCTGAAATCAAAATGCAAAACAGTTGGCCAAAAAAGTTATTTGCCAAATACAAACTAATATTCAAGAATCTTTGCTCATGCTCCTATGTACATTTACTTTAGGAAGAGGATTAAAATTTGCGTTGAAAATGTTTGCCATATTTCCTTCCTACCCCAACTATCCATATATTATTTTCAGTCAAGACTATTTTGTTAAGTAAAAAGAGAAGATCAAATATTGCTTTATAACAAGTCCATCTAAAACATTTTCAGCTTTATTAGTAAAATCTTATCCCCCCAAATTATTGTCTTTGCTTCTATATGATGCAGTTGCTGATCTACGTTCTCCATACCATTTGTTATGTCTTCTCCCTAAGGTAAACAGTCCTAATCTTTTTTCATGAGAGTTTTTCCACCCTTCTAATCATTTTCATCGCACATTTCTGAACCTTTGCTAATTCTGACACGTCCTTTTAAAGAATGGGTGGCAGAACTGAATACAGTATTTCAGATAAGGGAATATCTTTGATTTATAGAACAGCATTATAAGATATTTTCTATCCCATTCCTTATGCACCCTAATATTTTGTTTGCTTTTTTGACCACTGCGGCATATTGAACAGAGGTCCTCATTCAGCTGTCCTCAAAAATGCTGTATTTTTCTTGAGTTGTTCTAGCTAACCAGAATCCAGTAAGGTGTGAGAATAGTTAAAATCCTATGTGCACTTTACATTTGTCAACACTGAATTACATCTGCCACTGTGTTGCTCATTCACCTAAGTTAAGTCTGTGCTGAAGCTTCTCCCAGTCTTATTTAACTCAAACAACTGTCATCTGCAAATTTTGCCACCTCACAGTCACTGCTCACCCCTTTCCCCCAAATTAACAAATCTAATGACCACCACCAGACCTAGCCCAGAGCCTCAAGCAGTTTGCTGTTAACCTTTTGTCATGATGAAAATTGACCATTTATTCTTACTCTGTATTTTTTTGTCTCGGAGTTTCTGATCCATGACAGTACTTTGCCTCTCAAACTACTTAGTTTTTTCAATAGTTTCTTGGTAAGTACTTTGTCAAAGCCAAAATAAATTACGTTAACTGGGTCTTGTTAATCGACTACTATACTGGCCTGTTCAGAGAATTCTAATAGATTAGACAACCATGATTTCATTTGCAGAACCCAACTCTCCAGCCCAACATCCACTTCCTCCTCTCCTGCTATCATGCTGTGGAGTCTTTCTGGCGGAAATCTTGTGACACGGCTTTCTCCACTATAAAATTTTCCGTCTCATTCAGTTCTACCACCTTCCTAGCTAAAAAACTACTTCTCCAAATTAACTGAAACCCATGCCTGTAATCCCAGCGACCTTTTTACCACCTTTGACTCACTCCTCAAACGTTCCCATTTCTCCTACCTCCACCTCTCTCTCCTCATAGGATGGATCTCACCAATTTCTTCCAAGAGAAAATTGACAAAATACAATGTGACCTTTTCCCCTCCCTTATCTTGCTTTCTCTTCCCCCTTTCACTCTTAGGACTCTCTCCTTTCTCACAGACACAGATTTTCTCATCTGCTCTTCCCTCTCTAACTCTTCCATTTGACTAAGTGAACCCATATCTCCTGCTTTTCTTTGCATTCACTTATTCCCTCCCTCACTCTTCTCCTTTCCTTCTTTCCCCCACAAACCCACACTCCTACCTCTTTTCTCGACCACTGTGGACATCACTATCATTCTGCCTGTCACTCAAGCCCATAACCTAGGCATCACCTTTGACTTGGACCTCTCTTTAGGTTTTCACATCCAAGCTACATCTAAATCTGGCAGATTCTTTCTGCAGAACATCTCTAAGGGTATGTCTACACTACGAGATTAATCCGAATTTATATAATTCGAATTTTGGAAACAGATTGTATAAAGTCGAATGTATGTGGCCACACTAAGCACATTAATTCGGCGGTGTGCGTCCATGTACCGGGGCTAGCGTCGATTTCTGGAGCGTTGCACTGTGGGTAGCTATCCCATAGTTCCCGCAGTCTCCCCCGCCCATTGGAATTCTGGGTTGAGATCCCAGTGCCTGATGGGGCAAAAAACATTGTCGCAGGTGGTTCTGGGTACAGCCTCACCCCTCCCTCCCTCCCTGCATGAAAGCAACGGACGGCAGACAACCATTTCGCGCCTTTTTTCCTTGGTGAACACTGCAGACTCCATACCACGGCAAGCATGGAGCCCGCTCAGCTCAAGACAGCAGTCATGAACATTGTAAACACCTCGCGCGTTCTCGTGCAGTTTATGCTGAGCCAGGACCTGAAAAACGAGGCGAGGAGGCGGCAGCGACGGCAGCGCAGCGACAAGCGTGATGAGGACATGGACATGGACACAGAATTCTCTCAAACCGCGGGCCCCGGTGCTTTGGAGATCATGTTGTTAATGGGGCAGGTTCTATCCATGGAATGCCGATTCTGGGCCCGGGAAACAAGCACAGACTGGTGGGACCGCATAGTGTTGCAGGTGTGGGACGATTCCCAGTGGCTGCGAAACTTTTGCATGCGTAAGGGCACTTTCATGGAACTTTGTGACTTGCTGTCCCCTGCCCTGAAACGTCAGAATACCAAGATGAGAGCAGCCCTCACAGTTGAGAAGCGAGTGGCGATAGCCCTGTGGAAGCTTGCAACGCCAGACAGCTACCAGTCAGTCGGGAATCAATTTGGAGTGGGCAAATCTACTGTGGGGGCTGCTATGATGCAAATAGCCAAAGCAATCACTGAGGTGCTGCTACGAAAGGTAGTGACTCTGGGAAATGTGCAGGTCATAGTGGATGGCTTTGCTGCAATGGGATTCCCTAAGTGTGGTGGGGCGATAGATGGAACCCATATCACTATCTTGGCACTGGAGCACCAGGGTACCCAGTACATAAACCGCAAGGGGTACTTTTCAATGGTGCTGCAAGCACTTGTGGATCACAAGGGACGTTTCACCAACATCAACGCGGGCTGGCTGGGAAGGGTTCATGATGCTCTCGTCTTCAGGAACACTACTCTGTTTAAACGGCTGCAGCAAGGGACTTACTTCCCGGACCAGAAAATAACCGTTGGGGATGTTGAAATGCCAACAGTTATTCTTGGGGACCCAGCCTACCCCTTAATGCCATGGCTCATGAAGCCATACACAGGCAGCCTGGACAGGAGTCAGGAGCTGTTCAACTACAGGCTGAGCAAGTGCAGAATGGTGGTAGAATGTGCATTTGGCCGTTTAAAAGGTCGCTGGCGATAGTTACTGACTCGCTCAGACCTCAGCCAAACCAATATCCCCATTGTTATTTCTGCTTGCTGTGTGCTCCATAATCTCTGTGAAAGTAAGGGGGAGACCTTTATGGTGGGGTGGGAGGCTGAGGCAAATCGCCTGGCTGCTGATTACACGCAGCCAGACACCAGGGCAATTAGAAGAGCACACCAGGAAGCGCTGTGTATCAGAGAAGCTTTGAAAACCAGTTTCATGACTGGCCAGGCTACAGTGTGAAATTTGTTTGTTTCTCCTTCATGAAAACCCGCCCCCTTTATTGACTCATTCTCTGTAAGGAACCCACCCTCCCCCTTCCCCCAGCTTGCTTTCAAAGGAAATAAAGTCACTATTGTTTAAAAATCATTTATTCTTTATTAATTGATTATAAAAAGAGGGAGAGGACCCGGGTGGGGTTTGGGAGGAGGATCGGCGGGAAGGAAAAGGCCACTAAAAAAAGGTTAAAAAAATGACAGCCTTTTGGTTGGGCTGTCCACTGGGGTGAAATGGGAGGGTGTACGGAGCCTCCCCCCCCGCGTTCTTACATGTCCGGGTGAGGAGGCTATGGAACATGGTGAGGGGGGTTATACAGGGGCTGTAGCGGCACTCTGTTATCCTGCTGCCGTTCCTGAACCTCCACCAGACGCCGGAGCATGTCTGTTTGCTCACGCAGCAGCCCCAGCATTGCATCCTGCCTCCTCTGATCTTCCTGCCGCCACCTCTCATCTCGAGCGTCTCTCCTGTCCTCACGTTGGTCCCTCCTGTCCTCACGTTCACTGGCTTCTTTCCTATACTTTGAAACTGTGTCCTTCCACTCATTCAGATGCGCTCTTTCACTGCGGGTGGATTCCATGATTTCTGCGAACATCTCGTCTGGCGTCTTCTTTTTCCGATGCCTTATCTGAGATAGCCTTCGGGACGGAGGCTTGAAGAATTTGCAGCTGCTGGAGGGAGGGAAAAAAGGAGAGAATTTTTTAAAAAGATACATTTTGCAGAACAATGCTTATATTCTTTCACGGTGACCAACACTATTCACATTACATAGCACATGTGATTTCTGTGCAAGGTCGCATTTTGCCTCTTAATATTGAGTGCCTGGGGCTTTGCTGCTAGAGATCACAGACGCAGGTCCGGGCAACAGAATTCGGCTTGCATGCGGCCATGGTAAACCATTGTCTTTCCGCTTCTGCGCCCTCCTTTCCCACATACCAAGCAAAGCATGTTGAGTGCTGCAGTTTTCCTGTTAACCTTCAGCAGCAGAAAACAAACTAACCCCCCCCCCCCCCCCCCCCCCCCC